ACTGTAACCACTTTTTAATTAGTTTAAGCAAACGTCTACTTCTCTGTTATTATGAGACTGTTTGATAGTTTCCATCCACATTTTGTTGGATCACTTTTTTTTTGAATGAATACAAATGGGGGTCTCTTCCAGTCAGTCAGTTGGCCAGGTAGTTGTTGTTCGAATTTTTTGCTTCCAGCCTCGTATCCATTTTATGAAATATTTCGATTGGTGTTCCATCCATTCTTGGGGCCTTGCCTTTGACCAATGCTGTCAGTGCAGCCTGGATTCTTTAATACCATCCGTTCTTGATTATATGCTACCTCCTAAAATGGACAAATACCAACCAGTTCTTTTTGTTCATATAATTCTGAGTATTCCTTCTATCTTCGTTTGATGCTTCCTGGGTCTTTCACTATTTTCCCCGTAGAATCCTTCAATATAGAAACTCAAAGCTTGACATTTTTCTTCAGTCTTTCAGCTTGAGACATGCCATACGTGTTCTTTCCTTCAAGTTTTCTAATTCAAGGTCTTTGCACATTACATTATATGCTCTGCTCTCTAGGGCTGTCCTTTGAAATTTTCTGTTCAACTATTTTACTTCATTATTTCTCTCACTTCCTTTAGCTACTCTCTGTTCAAGAGCAAGTTTCAGAATCTCTTCTGTCACCCATGTGGTCTTTTCTTTGCTGTCTTTTTAATAACTTTTTGCTTGCTTTATGTATGATGACCTTCCTGTCATCCAACAACTCATCATTAGTGTTCAGGGTATCAGATCTGCTCTTGAGATGATTCCTAAATTCAGCTGTGATATACTCAAGGTCCCACTTTAATGGTCCCAGCCTGCCCTTGTTCTGACTAATGATAGTGAGTTTCACCATTTCTTCCACAGATCTAATGGACAAAGTATATAAAGTGTGTTCCATCCAGTGAGGTCCTCATTTTTAGTCATTTTTTATGTTGTTGTTTTTTTTAAGATATCTTCAGTGAATAAGTCATTGTTCATGCATACTTATATTATGCCATCGTCACCAAAGCCAAGGTCTACCTGACCCCAAACTATGGTATTTTCAATCATTTCATACCCATTTTGGACATTGAATAAGGAAGACCAAAGTGAAATAGATCCTCGTCCTTTTCATGTGAACTGTGGTATTGGCAAGAATATTGAACATGCCAGGTCCTACTCTCGGAAGAAGTGCAGTCAGAATGCTCCTCAGAGACAAGGGTGGCATGTAGTCAAGAGAGACCAAGCCCCGAGGAAGAACAGCATACTTGGTAAAGTGAAAGGGCAGCAAAAAGCGGAATGCCTCCCCGGAATGGGTTGACAGTGGCTGCGACAATGGGTTCAAGCCCAAGAACGACGATGAGGCTGTCACAGGGCCAGGCGGGGTGTTGTGCTGTGCGCGGGGTCGCTGTAGTTGGCACTGATCGCGGGCACCTAACGACAGTCCTACTTTATTTCCAACTCGTGCATTCTAAAAACCAGTCATGATAAATGCCTCTTAGTTACATGTTTGATCAATCAACTGCAGAAGTTTGTAAAAACCTTCCATTTCTTCATCTTTGGCATTAAGTGACTGATGCACAAATGATGGCTTATCCGATCACTCACAGTGCTGTACTTCAGATAGGTCTTGAAATGTTCTTTTTGACAATGAATGTGGCACCATTTCTCCTTCAGTTTGTCATTCCCAGCTGGGATATAGTAGACCATATGACTGTCCAGTTCAAAATGGCCAACACCAATCCATTTCCAATCTATAATGCCTAAGATAATCTCCAAGCAGTCCATTTCAGTTTTTATGACTTCCACTTGTTCTTGAGTCATTCTTCATACATTATAGGCTATGCTGACTAATGGAGATCTGCAGCCGCTACATCTCATTTCAGCAAAGGAAGGTCCTGAAAGCTGTAAAGTCAACTCTACTTGGAAGCAGCTCTTCTCTCCTGTGTTCTCTATGTTGTGTAGAACTCTACACTATTTGTGGATAGACATAGGGCCAAGACATAACATGAAAACAAATGTCACTAAATCTGTAGTACCAGAATTATAGAATACCCTTTGAGGAAGTTAATTTTTAATACATTTATTGGCATATAATACCATTTCACATTTCATACATCAGTCATATTGAGAAGAATTGTACCGTTTTCACCCCAATCGATTTCAGCACATTTTCATCTTTCTCATACTAATTGTTGTTAGTTTCCCAATTTCCCCCAACTCCCCTGCCATGCCCTAAGATAATTATTAATCCAATTACTGTCTCTATAAATTTCCCCATCCTGGATTTCTGATTCAGAAAACCATACAAAAACAAGAAACGAGAAAAAAACATCAATAGAAAAGAAATCAGAAAATATTAAAAACCAAATGGTCCAAAAGAGAGATCAAATGATGTTGTATTTGAACGTAACTCCATCTGCCATAAACGACTTTACAATGATCTCCATCTGATAGCAAGGCTCACCAGAGGCTTAAACCATATGGGGCCCCGGCAGATGGATTTTGGGTTTCCACTGTCATCCATAGCCTTCTGAAAATCTAGTGTTCAGAACTCAAGCTCTGCTACCATACCCTCCTTTGGCTTGGCACTTTATTTACAGTCCTTGGTTCTCACGGGCTGGTGTGCTTCTTCCATGTGGACTTAGGAAAATAGATCTTCTTCCTTCTCCTTTGAACAGTGTTATCGGCAAGAATATTGAACATGCCGTGTACTGCCAAAACATATAAGTCTGTCACATTCCACGGAAGTGTTGCTTAGGGGGAAAGCTAGTCTGGCTCTCATTTTTTTATACCTCACTTAGGTGGGCCCTTGTTCGAAGCAAGCACCCCATAAGAACTTACCGTGGTAGAGAGCTTGTTATTAAATGTTTTAGGGTGACGACAGAGAAACAGCACCATCTCTTCTCTCAAAGTGTCCTTTGAGTCACCTTTGAGGAACAGGATGGAGAGACAATCGTTTCTTCTAGTTTTGCTCAACGTTGTGTGATTTGCATGCTCAAGTGTAAGCTTTCACGTTTCCTTGTGTGTGTTTTGACAGGTGACTTTGGGAAAGGTGTTGAAAGTGATTGTCGTCATGCGGAGCCTATTCATTGATCGAACAATAGTAAAGGGATATAATGAAAATGTCTACACAGAAGATGGCAAGGTAAGCCTTCCAGAGGCTTTGCTGTGGATTCCCCCTTCATTTCTAGTATCTCAGAACAAATGTATTCAAGTCCCAGAGGAATGACATTAAAAACTAGCCATCATGCTGGACTGATGAGCAAGCAGAGACGTGCCAGCATGAAGATAACGCTGTACAGAAACACCCTCTGCTGCATTTGTCATCGAGCTCCTGCTTCTCTCTGAGCCTGATGCCCTTCGTGAATTTCTCATTTATCACCTGAGACCCCAGTTGCCTCATTAAATGTGTCTTCTGAGGAAATAGACACCCCCACCACCCCCCAAGTCTAGCAGCACATCAGTAGCCCACGGGTCAGCATTTTGCTTTTCCTAAAACCATGAGGAAAATTCAAGTTAGTTTGACACACAATTTCATGACCCTCTTTTTCCATGAAACTTCCAAGTAGTCCTCTGGAAGTTTTTTATCCACAATACCAAAGACTGAATAACTGCTATTGAGAGGGGGGAAAAGTTATTTCCATGGGTGGCTTGTTCCCAGGAAAGTTCACCCCTGTGAGCCCCTAATTTCTTTTGCCTGCATACACTCCATATGGCTCTATAGAGAGCATCAGAGGATGCTAATGGGAGCTGACAGCCTTCATTTGTTTGCTTCCAAAGTGTAATGAGCACTCTGTCTGAGATTATTACCCCCCCTACCCCACCCCCATCAGCACACACACTCACACATTCACCATGGCCAGATCCCAGCAATCTACCCCACTCTCTGGAGTCTTCCCTCTCCTCCTGAATCCCATTAAAATTGAGAAGTTTGTTAGTACTAGCACCCACCACCCAAAGGCCACATTATAATGAGGATAGAATAGTCTGTTTAAAAAAAGGTGATACATGTAGCTTAGCACATAGCAGTGTGTTACATAGGAGGTGTGACCCATAAAGTAATAGGATTTGTGTTTTGAATAAGCCTACATTTTCACATTCCACGGGTATGGTGCTTATGTGGAATTCTAGGCTTACTAATTTCTTTTAAATAGCCCATTGATAACAAATCATTCTTTGAAAGGAGACTTTTGCGGGGGGGTATGGGGATGTTAAGAAAAACCCAAAGGTTTGGAGTTATATATGGAGAATAAAGTGGATAATCAAGGCAGGTGTGCCCTTTGTGTTTATGATGAACGGACTCTGAAGATAATCCCCAAAGAGAAGGATTAAATTGCTTATCAGCAGCAGAAGCCACACTGGAATAGTGGCTAGCCTGCCAAAGAGGCTGTCAGTCGATTCTTGCTGGTTCTCTCAAGGTTTGTAGCTTTATAGTCACTCCTCAAGTGAACCACAGCCCCTTCTCTCACAGGACTTACACGTGAATTGAGGAGATAGAGCCTAAAGGCACACACACACACACACACACACACACACACACAAAACAACCGAATAAGGACCATGCTACAAGAGGTACCAAATTCAGGATGCAAATAAAATATACTTTGAATGTAGATTATAAGAAGGAATGGAAAATGTCACCTACATTGCATTGTATTCTTCCATGCGATATTTATTTAACTGAATGTTTTATACTGAAAATGTCTGAAATAATTCTTGTAAAGCACTTTGTACTTTGCCAGCTAATGAAATACTCAATAAATGATAACAAGTCTTTGTATTCAGCACTTAAAACAAAGGAAGTAGAAAACGGTCCCTTATATATGCTTCTAACATTTTTCTGATTACTCTCTCTCAACTATTTAAATAGTTCTTCTTACCCATATACCCCTTGATCCTAGCTTCCCCAGAGTCCTTCCTCCCTCTGTCCATTCCTTGGCCACACTTGTTTCACGCGATGCCCACACAGGGATCATGTATGATTTGTCTCTAAAGCAGACCTCTCCTTTGAGTAGTTCCTGGCTGGCATTTCCTTACAGACCCTCCTGAATATAGCTCCATTCAATTTATCTTGTTTACAACTAAACTCCTGTCTCCCCATAAACGCAGTTTTCCTCCTCTGTTCCTTATCTTGGCTAACTGTGCCATCACCTTATTGCTCACATAACCCCTCCCCTTATCTCTGTCTAGTCTGTGAGCCAGTTCTGGCGGTTCTCCCTCTTAGATGGCTCTCAACTTGGCCCCTCCTGTCCATCTTCACTCCTTTCAAGTCCTCATTAGCGCTCAGCTGAAAAACTGCACTGCCTTCTCACTGCCAGTCTCGTCTTACTTTCCTCCCAGGCTGTCCTTTACCTTGCTTCCAGAGCAGACACAGCTAGGCATCTCTTGCTTTCCCCCCATCTCCTCACATTGCCTAGAGCAGCCCTTCCCAAAAGGGAAGAAGGATATCAGTAGCTGTTAGATACAAACCTACCCATGACATCCTGTAGGAGAAGTTCAGTAGACTTCTTTACTATAAACATTGAGAGTTTTTAGTTTGTGTATGCCCCTCTGGACTCTCCAAGAAGGATAGAGAGGTTTCCAGATGTATTTGGCCCACCCCATTTTCAGAAGAAAAATAATGCTCAGCACCCTTCTGACAATGAAAACTTTTGTAGTATAGTCCACAATCCAGGATAAAGTGTAGGCACCTGCTTTTGGCAGCCCCTGGACCATTCCAGTGCTCCCCAGGCACTACCCACTTTGGGAAGCACTCTTGCTCTATTTTCCCTAACTTTCTTGAGCACCAAATTCTTGTTTTCTTCTCCTCCTCCTCCTTTCTTTTTGGACCCTATTTTGACGTTGGAATTTTGTAAACTATACTTCTGGAAACTCTGAATTCTAGACTAAAATTCCAACTCTTTAGCAAGGCATGTGGCCCCGGCCTTCCTTTCTGGCTTCTTCATGCTTTACTTGTGGCTCCCCTTCAAGCTATGCCAAAATCCATCACACATTCGCACATCCCAGACCATTTGCCTGCAGTAGCTTCCCTTCCCAGTCCACCTGAAAGCGCCCGCCCTTCCTTAAATATCACCACCATCTCATCCCACCCTGTTTCCCCAGGGTTCCCACAGCTCCCGTGTGCTTAGAAACATGGGCTCTAGAGAGACAGGTCTGAGACACATAGTAACTTGGGGGAATTCTGTAGAAGGAAAAGAAAAACAAAAATCTGCATCGATTTGCAGCATTTCTATTAATCCTCAGAATTTTGAAGTATCCTTTATGAGTACTAAAATTATCTCATGAGTCTTCATTTACATGTATGTCAATACTAACAATACTGATATTTATTAGCCAGGTAAGAATTGTGCACCGAGCAAACTTTGCCCACTGCTATCAAGTCAGTTCTGACTCATAGTGACCCTATAGGCGAGAATAGAAGTGCCCCATTGGACTTCTGAGGCTGTAAATCTTTTGTTTTGTAATCATTTTATTGAGGGCTCATACAACTCTGATCATCCATACATACATCCATTGTGTCAACCACACTTGTTCATTTGTTACCATCACCAATCTCAAAACATTTTCTTTCTACTTGAGCCTTTGGTATCAACTCCTCATTTTTTCCCCTCCCTCATGAACCCTTGATAATTTATAAATTATTATTATTTTTTCATGTCTTACACTGACTGATGCCTCCCTTCACCCACTTTTCCATTGTCTGTCCCCCAAGGAGGGGGTTATATGTAGATCCTTGTGATCGGTCCCCCCTTTCTCCCCCACCTTCCCCTTCCCCTCCTGGTATCGCTACTCTCATTATTGGTCCTGAGGGGTTTATATGTCCTGCATTCCCAGTGTTTCCAGCTCTATCTGTACCAGTGTACATCCTCTGGTCTAGTCAGATTTGTAAGGTAGAATTGGGATCATGATAGTGGGGGGTCGGAAACATTTAAGAACTAGAGGAAAGGTGTATGTTTCATCGGTGCTATACTGCACCCTGACTGACTAATCTCCCCGCCCCGTGACCCTTATGTAAGGGGATGTCCAGTTGCCTACAAATGGGTTTTGGGTCTCCACTCCACAGTCCCCCTCATTCACAATGACACAATTTTTTGTTCTTTGATGCCTGATACCTCATCCTATAGACACCTCATGATCACACAGGCTGGTGTGCTTCTTCCATGTGGGCTTTGTTGCTTCCAAGCTAGATGGCTGCTTGTTTATCTTCAAGTCTTTAAGACCCCAGACGCTCTATCTTTTATAGCCGGGCACCATCAGCTTTCTTCACCCCATTTGCTTATGTACTCGTTTGTCTTCCGCATGAGGCTGTGAAGCTCTACTGGAGTACCATTACCTCATCTTTCCCCCTGGCTTGGCTGGTGGCTTTGGAACATGGCCTTTCAGTTAACAGAGCAAAGCTTAACCCATTATGCCACTGGGGCACCTAACTTTACCCACAAAAATAAATGCATTGCCATCTAATCACTTCCTATTCATAGTGACCCCTTTGGACTGTGAGGCTGTAAAACTTTAAAGAGCAGCCAGCCTCATTTTTCACCCTTGGAGAAGCAGGTAGATTCAAACTTCCAGGGCTCTGGAATTTTGCATACAGTGGTTATTAAATCCTCCTAACAATACCATGAAGAAAAGTAATGTTATCATATTTATTTCACATAAGGAAACTGAGGCCCAGAATGGTAAAATAACTTGCCCATTGACACACAGCCAAATCTCCTAATCTTAGGTCTACCAGGACTGTATCCGTAGGGCACAGCTCAGTACCTGAAAAGCAGTGTAGAACCCCAATCGTGTGTGAGAACAGCTAATGAATAAGACTGCAACACATAAATGCCACACAAAACGGTTTTGGCTGGAGTGGGAAAGGAGAGAATCAGAATCAAAGATGGCCATGGAAAGAAGTGCAAGGAATGAAGTCAGAAGTAAATCGGAGAAGAAAGGGTGCACACACAGGTGATCAGAGATTAGCACAGATTCTAGACATCAGGAATGTGTGTAAGCAGTCTGTAGTAATCCCTGTCACAAATGTGATGATACAGGAAGGTTTCTGTAGACCCTAACACCGAAAATAGCAAGACAGAGAGGAGTGTTATTTTAAAGGCACATCAGCCACATTCGGTCTGAGAAGCTTTCAGATGACGGCCCTAC